AATAATATTTTATGGTTATAAGAAAATCAAGTTAAAGAAACCATCTTCATTATTTTACATTGGATGTTTGTTTCTTTCTCACATATTCATGTATATTTATTTTAATTTTAAAAGTATGTAATTTTTTAACAAAAAAAAAATTTTGTTATATAATTATCAAACCAATTTGTAAGACATTCTTTTAAGAATAATGATACTTATATTTAGTTTGTGATTCAACATGTAATAATATAAAGAACATTATAATTTGTTTTAACTTTGAATTTTATACTTGATTTCCTATCTAAAAAACAATTTGATATTCCATTATCTATCTATTATATATACTACAATGATGAAAAATATAATTAAACCTAGAAATATAACTTAAATTAAGAAGAACATAAAAAGAGATTAAAAATAAAATTATTTCTTGGGAATTTTTAAGGTTTCACTCTCTCCTTATTGGTCCAGTTAGCATTTCATTTTTAATTATAATATTTATTTTTAATTAAACCAAATATCTAACACATTTAGTCATATACTTTAAATTCATACTTGAAATCCACACTTTACTATTAAATTGTAACTTAAATTATATAACCTTTCAATTGACTATTTGTTTCCTCCATTTAACTTCAGTTAACACACTATAAAATATAATTATAACTCCTCTGATTTAATTATTTTATAATTGTAACTTACATCATATTTTATCCTATAAATACTCATTTTTACATCCTCCTCCACCATATCTGATATTCTCAATATTTTCTTTGTTTAATTTTTAATGTTCTTGCATGGCTTGAAAACTCAATTAAGATATCATTGTAAGAGCTTGAATATATATTTGGTTAAAACTTTTGTTTTCAATTATATTTCTTCTTTATTTTATGTACTTCATCATTTTTTCATTGTTTTTTATACTATTAAATGTATAATATATATGTATAATAATATTTTATAGATATAAGGAAATTACTTTATCGATGGGATTCAAAAATATTGATTTCTGACCATCGCACCATAAGAAAATCAAGCTAAATAAACCATTTTCATTGTTTTACTTTATATGTTTTTTTCTTTCTCACATATTCATGTATATTTATTTTATTTTCAAAGTATGTAATTATTTTAACAAAATAATTTTTTGTTATATTCAAACCAATTTGTAAGACATTGAAATAAAAAAAAATTTATACACAAATAAAGGTAATTTTTGTGTATATTTATAAGTTTACACACATATTTGGATAAATTTCAACATTTTTAGTGGTTGTTTTGATAAAGTTTGAAAAGGGGGTAAATTTAAAAAGTGGTATTTTTAAAGGGGTATTTTTTAAATTCTCCCAATATCATTCCTATTTTTATCACGAACAATATTATTGTTTTATCAAAAAATACTTAAAAGTACTAAAGAAAATTACTATCAAAATTGATTAATTGAACAATTAATCAACGAATAAATTCAAAAGATATGGATGTATGCTTCTATTGTATGATTTAAATAAATAAAATGTAAAAATGTCATAAGCATTAAAATTTATTTAATCTATTTTTTATAAGTAATAAATAAATTAAAATAATTAAATAAATAAACAATAACCCGCGCATATGCGCGGGACATTACCTAGTAGTAACAAAATGAACCATGTACTTTTTTTTCTATCAAGAAAAAAAAAACAAAAGGAAAAAGATTAACTTGTAATTAAACTTTTTTATTAACTTGAAACTAAAAAAAAGGAAAAGATGAAGTTAATTACAAGTTAATAAAAAAAAAAAAAAAAAAAAAAAAAGGAAAAATCATGGAAAGAGGGTGTGGGGGACACGGGAGTTGCACGTGATGTAAATATAAGTCAATAGGGGTAATTAAATAGGGTGGGGGATGTGATTCTGACAGGGGAAGTTAATACAACACGGAAACTCTCTATTCTCCTCTCTAATTACTAATTATAGTCCCCCTTTTGTTTTCAGGATTCCTTTTTTATTTTTAAGTTTTACAATATTTCAACACCTACCCTTTTTGCTTTCTCTATAATCTCTCAAATTCCAAATCCAAACACAATTTTTGAGCCTCAAGCCACTCTCGTCGTGTACACGTTCTTCCTTTTAGCCGGAGGAAGAATGTTGTTGACAGAGGCGGTGAGAAAGATCTATTCATCATCCATATAGACGACGACATTTTATATTAATTGTCTCTCTCTAGCTAGGGCTTTGGATGATTAGACCCTGAGAGATATTGAAATGGGTAATTGCTTTGGATCCACCTCAAAGAAGAATGCTAATGAGGATGTTCATGTTAACTCCTCCTCCTCCTCACTGAACTCCAAACCCTTTTCACGTACGTCAGCTCTCTTCTTATCATTCTCTCTGTTTTGTGGTTGTATTTAAACTTAATTCATACTAGCTAGTTCGTACAACATATCTAGATTTGAATCCTCGATTTGATTTTAGTCTTTTCGAATACGGACAGAGCTACATTGTCCTGGATTCTCCGAATCTAGGTAGCGACTTATTTATGCATGCTGATGATATGAGTCTAAGTCTTTACTGTGATGGATGAATATGAATTTAAGACGAATTATTTAGGTTTTTGAGGTTTTCTACCTGACTTTAAAAAATCTCTATATACTGCTAATTAATGAGGTCTTACTCTAAGTGAGCAGAGGGATAGCGAAATATAATACTATCTCAAATCTCAATATGTCGTATTCCTACTTGTATCAGGTCTTTAACTTGAGCATGGCTTATAGATGCAATGACTTATAATTATAGCTATAGTTACTAGTCCACAGGATGAGTAAAAAGGAAACACTAAGAAGGGTCTCTGTATTTTTCATCAAACTTCACCATATATTTTTAATCACAACATGAGAAGGTTGGTTTATGTAGTTAATTACTTTATTCATCTCCAGTGATGATAGAAGCAGAGAGAACTTTACTTCCCCTGTTCGTAAATTGTTAACTGTGCTGTTGATAACTCCCCAAAGTTTCTGTTTATTCATTCCCATTTTTTGATATAAGGAATGTGGTATTGTTCTGGTTCAGGAGCTGATAGTGATACTGGAAGAAGCTCGAATCTTTCATATCCTTGGAGTTTAAAACCTCTCATTACAAGAAAATGTGAAGCTAACAGCACTCTACCTGCACCGCGCGAAGAAGGAGACATCATGCATTCTCAATATTTGAAGTCCTTTACGTTAGATGAGCTAAAGAACGCTACGGGAAACTTCTGTCCAGAGAGTCTAATTGGAGAAGGAGGGTTTGGTTTTGTTCACAAGGGCTGTGTTAACGGTGGACCTGGAATCGAACTTGCAGTTGCTGTAAAGAAGCTTAAAACTGAAGGGTTTCAAGGACACAAGGAGTGGCTGGTAAGCATCTTTTAAATTACTCTATTATATATGATTTCCCTTGAGGCTGCCCATCCCTTTTAGAATCTTTACATGTGTATGCTTTCTCCAAAGAGGGAAGTGAATTATCTTGGAAGATTGCATCATCCAAATCTGGTGAAATTGATTGGTTACTCCTTGGAAGATGAACAACGTCTTTTGGTTTACGAGTATATGCCTAATGGTAGTCTTGAAAATCATTTGTTTGAAAGTAAGTAAGAAACTTTTGTTAAATTTCATCACTTGTGTTTTTTTTTTCTTTCTGCATGATTTGAATATATGTTTATTCTAGGGGGTTCCAATGTGCTTTCTTGGTCACTGCGTATGAAAGTAGCTATTGGTGCTGCTAGAGGGCTATGCTTTTTGCACGAAGCTAAGGACCAAGTCATTTACAGAGACTTCAAAGCAGCAAATATCCTTCTTGATTCAGGATTCAACCCAAAACTCTCAGATTTTGGGCTGGCTAAAGAAGGTCCAACAGACAACCGTTCACATGTGACAACCGAAGTCATTGGTACAGAAGGTTACGCAGCTCCAGAATATCTAGCAACAGGTTTCTCTTCATTTAAAATGGTTCATTTGACTCGATTTCAGTTAACAACATAACATGAAAATTTCTAAAACACATTGATTGGTCTGCTTTTGGTATATGTCAGGTCATCTAACAACGAAATGCGACGTCTACAGCTTTGGTGTAGTCTTACTAGAGATTCTCTCTGGACGTAGAGCCATAGACAAAACCAAAGCTCGAGAGGAAGAAAGCCTAGTGGAATGGGCAAAACCTTACTTGCGAGACAAGCGAAAAGTGTTTAGGATAATGGACACGAAGCTTGTGGGTCAATACCCTCAGAAAGCAGCGTTTATGATGTCTTTCTTGGCTTTACAATGTATCGGAGAGGTTAAAGTAAGACCATCGATGCCTGAGGTCTTGTCTCTTCTTGAGAAAGTTCCATTTCCAAGACATAGAAAGAGTAGAAGCAGAGGTTTTGCTACTAACTCTTCTTCCAAACGGTTTCTCAGACACCCTAACTAATTAAGGGATCGACTAAAACTTTGGCTTTTGGATCGTTCTTTCTTTTGTGGAAATGAAATATAAAAACTTTTATTTTTGTTACTTCATTAATAACTTATGATCAACTATGAAATATAGAAAAAGAAAAAAAAAAGCATGGCCATGATCTATTATTAAGTTTTAAACCATACGTACGTTACATCTTGTAAATTGCAATCTTAACTGAGCACACATAATTCAGCTAGTGGCTAGTATTAATTATATAATACACAATCATGACTGATATATGATCATCATCGTTATGTGTAATGTATAAGAACATGTTACATGTACATAATAGTGTACAAATGATATGCGTGTTATACTGTATGTTCTACTAGTAAACTATTTACTCGAAATGATTGCATGTCATATGTGCATGGAGAGACGAAAAGAGAAGGCTAATCCAAACGTAAACGGCCCTATAAAACCACCACTAATTAACATTAATCATATCTCTCGTAACTCCAAATTTAACAGGGCTATCAATTCGCCGTCAATACCCCACTTCTCCTAATAGATTCATCATCACTAATTCCACTTTTATTCTCTCTCCATATCTTCACTAGTGCTCTCTCCTCTGAATGTATATATAAATCTTTTCTCCCTCATCTATTTCTACATCGCAACTTCTCTCTCTCTCTCGTCTCTATAATGGCTGATCACAAGAACAAAGAAGAGAAGTCATTCTCATTCCTAGCTCATTCACCACCCGTTGATCACAGGTCAATTTCAGTAGCTTTTGTTTAGTATAAAATTTGTTATTAGTGTATTTCGTTTTTCTGATAATTTAATTTCTCTGTTTTTTGCATACGCATGCAGCTCCTTGAGTTATCCTCTATATGACTGGGAAGAAGATCTTCTTGCTTTCCACGAAAGCTCTGCCTCTCAATCTTTTCCTTTGACTACAACTTCTCTGCCATTACCTGATCTTGAACCTTTGTCTGAAGGTATACTTATATAGTTACGGAGTTTTCATATACATGATTACATATATCTATGCTTGTATGTAGAGGTGTCATGGGTCTTACGTTGTTCTGTAGATGTACTCAATTCATACAGCTCTGCATCATGGAACGAAACAGAGCCAAACAGAGGAGATGTAGCTTCATCGGAAAAGAAGACTAAACATGGAGTAGTGCAAGAGACTACTAAGAAAAGGAAACTCAACGAGAGACGCAGAGAACCTAACGTGAGGATCATCAGCGATATTACTACCTACACATCTTCTCCAGCTTCAAAGGCATTGTCTATGGAAACTGTCTCTCGCTACTTCTATATGCCCATAACTCAGGCTGCTATGGAACTTAATGTTGGTTTAACTCTTCTGAAAAGAAGATGTCGTGAATTGGGTATTCGCCGATGGCCTCATCGTAAACTCATGAGCCTAAAAACTTTGATCAGTAACGTTAAGGTATGTGGTAGGACAAGACAGTAGACTTGGTACAAATTGTTTTTGGATTAGTCCACTGAAATGTGAATTTGTTTTTAATTATGTAATTAGGAGCTGCAGAAGATGGAAGGCGAGGAGAATGCAGACAAACTGCAGGACGCCCTGGAAATGCTCGAGAAGGAGAAAAGGACGATTGAGGAGTTACCAGATTTGGAGTTTGAGGACAAGACAAAAAGGCTGAGACAAGCTTGTTTCAAGGCTAACCACAAGAGGAAGAAGAAGAGAAGTCTCAAGTCCGATCATGCTCACATAGCCTCTTGTTCAAGCAGCGGATCAGTCGCTAGTGATGAGTCGGTTAATGATGGAGGAATGGAGAGTGATGAAGAGGTGAAGTATCTCTTGTGTGGTTTCTCAAATGAGTTTAGTAGTGGTTTGTGAATCCGCTTTAGTACTGGGAAATTGGGGATTGTAAAGCCAAATGCTTTTTGACTAATTGAATGAACAAAAAACATAAATATGATACTGAATACCACCTTGAAGGGTTTCAACATTAGTGTACTGTAGATACTAACAAACAAACAAACAAAAAGAGAGAGATAGGAAGCAAGGGGATAGACCTCATCTTTTTGTTCTTAGACATTGAGCTTCTCAATTTCTCTCCTTAGAGCATTAGCCCTGACCAAACTCCCAATGGTGTTCACAGCCAACTTGATATCTTCCAAAGGACTACCTGGTGCAACCCTCTTGTATAGGTAACTATCAAATGTCATCTTCTGAACATACTCATCGGCACACATCTCCACAAACGCTTCTCTAGCCGGATTCGATCTGTAGAACACTTTCTGCAACACATCAAGCACCCTGTACGTAGGCAAGTATGTCTTATCCCATTTCTCCAAGTATTTCCTCAAGTCCCCTTCATCAATCATCTTCTTACCTATAGTCAATACACAGATAGACTTTGGGATTCAGTGATTCACTTAAATCTTAAACTCAAGAACCCGTAAAAGGTGAATCTTATAACTTACCATTCTGTGAACCTTCAACAATGGCTTCAGCACACATCCTTCCACTCTTAGCAGCAAAGTAGATCCCTTCACCAGAGCATTTAGTCACATACCCTGCAGCATCACCTACAAGAGCCACTCTTTTGGAGAGCCTACGTGGTCTTGGGTGTTCAGGAATGGGATGAGCCTCAACACGGATGATCTTGCCTCCCAAAATCTTGTCTTTGGCTCTGTTACGAGTAGCAAGCTGGAACTTCTTAATGTCACCTTTGTGAGTCACAGTGCCTGTTCCAACAGCTACATGGTCGCACTTAGGGAACACCCATCCGTAGAAATCAGGCGACACATCATCTCCAACATACATCTCAGCTAAATCCTCATAGTAAGTCATTTTGTCATCTGGAATCCTAATTCTCTCCTGAAAAAAAGTTCCAAATTTCACCACTAAACTCCATATGAAGATGATCTCTCAAATCCTAAACAGCTCTAGTCTGATCAACACAACCATTGAACAAAGTAAACTCAAGAAATAAGGAATTAGACCTGAAACGCGATGGCGTAGTCGTAATCACCAGCATCAATAGATTTGGCAACCCTGGAGTTAGCCCCATCAGCTCCAATGACAGCATCAACCTCCATTGTCTTCTTTGTACCCGTAGATCCGGTTTTACCATCGTACTCCGTGTAATGCAGAGTGTAGGGAGAGTCCCAGTTCTCAGGATGATCCATCTTAAGGAAGAGACCATTAATAACAGTAGCTCCACTCTTCTCAGCTCGTTCTCTCAGATACGCATCAAGCACTTCCCTTCTCACCATACCAATGTACTCATGCTCCTTAAGCGTACGGCCGATGTCAACAGCGATGTTGGAAGGCGAGATCATCTTCATCTTCGTCACCCTCCGGTCAATGATATCCAACGGCAAATTGAATTCTCCAACCATACAGAGAGGAATCGCGCCACCGCAAGGCTTACAGTTGTCCATCTTACGCTCGATGAGAACCGTCTCGATACCTCCTTGAGCAAGAGTCTCCGCAGCAGCTCCGCCTGCAGGACCACCACCGATGACGGCGACGCGGAGTTTACGGTTGGAGAGTTTGGGAGTGGATCTGGCAGCGGTAACTCGGAGAGAGCTACGTCGTTGAGGGAGAGAAAGTGACGACGGTACATGAGACACGAAGTTGGTTTGCTCCGTTGATGATTGACGAAGACCCGTGAAGGATTTGAGTGTAACCGTCGCCATTGTTGTTTGTATGAGCAAAAAAGGAAGAAGCTTGAGGAGTTCTGCGAACACAAACTTAACAATGAAGTCTCTCTCTCTTTGTCTCTCTGCTTCGGTTTTGATTTTGGTTAAATGTGTTTTTGTTGGAGTGGATAGAGATATTGTTGGAGATTTCCGAGGAATATTCACCGTTGGATTGAGAAATTGACGGTGATGATGAGATGAGGATAAAGTTACGGGTTTGGGTTCTCTTTTTTTCTTTTTTTTGTATCCGTGGCGCCCATTGTGTGTCGAGCAAACGGCTGAGTTAAGGCCACGTAGGATAAGTTATTTTGTTGTCTTTTGATTATTATATTTTTTATTTATGGGCACAAAAACATCCGTAGAATCTTTGGTTCACACAATTATGTATGGGTGATTCAGTGGATATTTCAGTGTTTTCTCTTCTTCTTTTTTAATAACCAAAGGATTTCCAACTAACCAGCTATATCGAAAGTTTCCTATAAATAAAAGTCATTTCATAACAAATCTGAAATCTTAGCTTAAGTTGATGGTTTTAGAATTACTGACATTTTAAGGTACAAATCAGACCAAATCAATTATCCAAATTACGGGTTTACTATCCTAACCGGCCGGGTTAGGCTGGATTCCAAAACACTTGCTGGACCATAGTAAGGTGCACAAGTATTACTGTATTAACTCCACTCTGTTTTATACAAGTACATACTCTGTTTCAGTCAGAAAAAGCTTGTACTATGCACACTCTTCATTGCCCAATGGCCTAAACGGTTACCTTTTGGTTATTTTACCGGAATACCACCACTCAATCACCTTAATTTCAACCATCCCCAGCCAGGCTTTCACCTCTGGTCCATTGGGCTTGAAATTGGCCCATGATCCATGATTAATCAAACATATTCCAATCTTTGCTCATTTCGAAGAACAAACAAACTATAGACGACGATCATGGAAATTTTAGAATCTTCCATTTCTTGGGATGAATAGTGTTTTCCTTAACGTACGATTTTAATTGATAATTTTTAGTAGAGTTACGAAAAAGAAAGTGAAGTGAATACATATTTATGAGTATGATGAGGAAAATCATAAAAGTTTGATAGAGGTTTTAGTTTAGTTGACAATGCAATGAAATGTTCCGTATTAAGGTAAAACTTGTTTATGGTTGTTCTCTATAAATGAGTTCATAAACCCCAAAACTGGAAATTATTTACCGCAATATTTAACTTTTTTCCTAAAATGACAAGATTTCAAATTTACGGACAAGAAGCGGTTACAACTTACGACACCAACACGAGGAAAGAGTAGTTGAAGTAGGTTTGAATCAAAAACATTAAAAAAAAAACAAATACAATAATTTATGTAAGAAAACAAAATCAGTTGGTTCATCAACTCAAAATCTACCTTCACCTCTTTCTTCTCACATTACTCCTCCACTTTTCTTACTTAGTCCCTAATTTTTCCACTTCCAAAACCCTTTATAAACCCCCACCAAACAAATCTTTTTCAATCAACAAACATTTTAAATTTGGCGACATGAAGAAGTTCTGTGGGATATTCGCGTTGCTCTTCGTTCTTGGGATCAACGGCTACGATTGCAAGATTGTCCAGTTTATATTCGGAGATTCATTGTCTGATGTAGGCAACAATAAGAATCTACCAAGGAGTTTAGCGACAGCAAATCTTCCTTTTTATGGTATTGATTTTGGCAATGGTTTGCCTAATGGAAGGTTCACCAATGGCCGCACTGTTTCAGATATTATAGGTAAGTCATGTGTATTTGAAGTATGAAATTATAAATTATGATCAATGATCATGGTATAACATGGTTATTATATTTGACTCCAATCTTTTAATGGCTTTTGGCTCATTTTCTTAAGGTGATAAAATTGGGTTGCCAAGACCAGTAGCATTCTTGGATCCATCGATGAATGAAGATGTAATACTTGAAAATGGAGTGAACTATGCTTCAGGAGGTGGTGGGATCTTGAATGAAACTGGTGGTTATTTCGTAAGTCTCGTGAATAATGTTTTTAACTTTCAAAACAATTTACTACATTCATCAAAGAAATTATCGATGTTAAATTTCTTTTTTATGGTGAAGATCCAAAGACTTTCTCTGTGGAAGCAAATAGAATTATTCCAAGGGACACAAGATGTAGTTGTGGCAAAGATAGGGAAAAAAGAGGCTGACAAGTTCTTCCAAGATGCTCGATACGTCGTCGCTCTAGGCAGCAATGACTTCATTAACAACTATTTGATGCCTGTCTATGGCGACTCTTGGAAGTACAATGATGAAACCTTCGTTGAATATTTAATGGAAACACTTGAATCTCAACTCAAGGTTATTAGTCTGGACTAATTCAACACTTCAATTATTATTATTTTTTTCAATCTTTTATTTATGATACGACTGATACATATTTGTAATGTTTTAGGTGCTGCATAGTTTAGGAGCGAGGAAGCTAATGGTGTTTGGGCTAGGACCAATGGGTTGTATCCCACTCCAAAGAGCTCTAAGCCTCGATGGCAAATGCCAAAACAAAGCGAGTAATCTTGCCAAGAGATTCAACAAAGCTGCCACCACATTGCTCCTAGATCTCGAGGCCAAGCTCCCTAATGCAAGCTACAAGTTTGGTGAAGCCTATGAACTCGTCAACGACGTCATCACTAACCCTCAAAAATACGGTAACATACAAACTTTGATATACAGTCAAAAGAAGCATTCATTTACCACATTTTCATTAGAAAAAATGAAAATTACTCAAAAGTTTCATTTATTTATTTATTGGGCTCTGACACCAAAAAGTTGTTCAAAAGTAAAAAAAAAAAAAATCAAAAGTTTTATTTTCCACACACAAATTTACAAAAGTATTTAACTTATTTAGGGTTTGATAACTCGGATTCGCCGTGTTGCTCGTTCTACAAAATCCGGCCGGCACTGACATGTATCCCGGCGTCGACATTGTGTAAAGACAGAAGTAAGTATGTGTTTTGGGACGAGTATCATCCCACCGATAAGGCCAACGAGCTCGTTGCTAATATTCTCATCAAAAGGTTTGACTTCATGCGTGCCGATAACGGTACCTCCCAGGCTCCTTCTCCAGCGCCAGATATTTCTCCTTCTTCCGACACTAACTGATACAATTTAATGTCTAAATTATATGTAATGATTACATTTTTAATCATGTGGAATAATGTTGTATCATATGTATTTTGTTCTTCATCTGTTGTATCTGTTAATTCCATAATTTGTCTTATAATAGTAAAGATATTATCATGTTTGAGGTAGTTGTGTCCTCCACTGTCTCAGTGTCTCTCCACCAAATAAAACGAAAACGATAATTAAATAATGTGTGGGAAAAAGATTGCGTAAAAGATAAATTAACAAAAATGGCATATTTAAAACAGTGTAAGGGAAAAAGCAGAGCAAAACCTTTTTGTGTTTCAGTGGATGACCTAACCTGAGCTAAGTTAATGGTGGGACTTTTATTTTAAAGTGTCAAACAGAATTAAAGTCTAACATGGGTTTAATAAAGTTTGAGTGTTATATCTGCACATAGCCTTTTAGATTAAGATTCCATTGTATTAAAACTTCCCATGCTCTTAAATCTTGATACATATCATATAAAATGATTATTAAAATTTTACAGGAGCTAGATTACAAGAAATTTTGGAATTAGCATTCAGAACAGTGAGGAGTGTGGCGGTTGTTAGCACCTGATCCTGGATAATCGTTAATCTCCTCAACGTTCATCATCCTCCTTGGCCTCGTTCTTCTCTTAGGATCAGTTTCAGTGCGTCCCTATAAAAAACATCCAGACAAGAATAATCAAGAACAAGAATCAAAATACAAAAGAGACCTGATCTTTGCTCACATTGTTGTGTGTGTCAGTGTGTATGTGTGGAGTAAACTCTTACCAGGTGCAGGTGGTTAATCTGACTAAATTCATGTCCTTTGGTTTCAAAGTCTGTTCGTTTCTCTGTTCCTACAAGATATAAGAAATTAAAACAAGAAAGAAACAGAACAAGAAACTGGAGGACGTTAGAGTCTCAAAGACAGAAAGAGAGAGGTATTACAGACTTGCAGTGATTAGGACAGGCTTCCATGAGATCATTAGGTAAAGAAGAGCTAACACCAAGAACATTTGGAAACGAAAGACTTGTCTTCTCGCCATCTACGCCTTCCCTCAAAAGCCACAAGATATGTTCTGTTTCTTGCTTTGTTCTTCAAGTAAAGCTTTGTCGAATTTATACCAAAGAAACCCTGTGTACTCTTCTTCTGGATCTGTATGACTATCGTGGAGGAAGATATCGATAATAAAGAAAAGAAGATTGTGCAAATTTTCTCATTTTCTTTAGATCTCTACCGTTGATTGTGGAAATAAGCCTTTTGAGTTGGAGACATCACATGATGCTCATCAAATTAAAACTCTTGTTTTTTAAGTACTAGTGTTGTATTATTTAATACACTGACACACACATAGATATACACAAATCTGCTGGGTATCATGTATGCGTACACACATACGTAGACATGTACGCTAATACATATACTGAAAAACTCGTATGTACATTGCTACAGTAACTAAAACTAATCTTTGATCACAAGTTCACAACATAGATATTACTCGTATGACCTCTTCTGAGTCAATCTGGTTGCTGCATAATAAAGAAGCATAGGATTTTAGTATGAATTTGATGGTGTATAACAAAGCAACTTATCTGCGGAAAATATTGCATGTAGATAGCAATCATCTTTGAATTGAGCAGAACATACAACTGCAAAGCATACTTTTAATAACAGTTCACTCACTGATGAGGAAGAAAACTTGAGTCAGGAGGTATGATCATTTGTTGGTTATGGTTATCAGGAAGCCATGAGATTGAATGGTTTTCATGAATGCCATTTATTACTAAAGGTGATGATATCCCGCTATGAAACTGCATTAGAAGGTTTGGTCTGGTTCAGAATTGTGAGAGAGAAATAAGGGACAAGTGTTATAATATATACTAACCTGTGTTGTTGAACACTTGAACACTCGAAGGCATGAGTTGATTCTTTCACAAATGTGCCTGCAAGGCAAAAGGTGCCTCCATTACTATCTCTTAACATTTTCATTTGTGTGTGTCATCAAGTCATACATATACCTTGTGAATCAGAAGGCTTTCAATAGAATTTCTCAATGATACTCCCAAATGCTCCAGATGCTCGATGTCTCCTCAACAACTTAAAACACACACAACAGGAAGAGGATTCAAATATGAATCCATCACCACCATAGTATGTTGAGAAGGTTAGGAAAACAAATAGAAAGTGTAAAAGTTACTATTGAAGTTTTCTGATACACCGGAACTTGACATTGAAGAGAGGAGTGAAGAAGGAGAGTGAAGCTCGTAACAAACTTTATTATTGATGTAAAAGAATATTACAAAGCTTAATCTGAAATTAGAGTATACACAGAGTATTTATACTCTTTCTAATACTGAGCTAAACCAAGATCTTAACCAGAAATAACCGGTTCTAATAACCATCCAAGTATCTAATAGTTACTTAAAAACGGAAGGTCAGAAGTTACACCTCAGTCTCCTGTGACACTCCATAACCTGAGCTTGGAAAAAACGCTAAATGGTTAGGCAGACCCTGTTCATGAAACGTTAAAATACAAACTTTTAGCACGAGCATAGAAGCATCCAGGAGAAGAATATTGATGGTTGATCCATCATCTTTACCTCAATAGCTCGATTCCTGCATAAGAAGAAAAATATCGATATCACACAATATGGAAAACTCTCTGGTTTTCTTCAAAATCTCACTCCGTGTCTTTGAGTATGTGTTTTTTACCTGTTGCTACTGCTTTCCAACATCTTTATCATCATCAGCTTAACCCTTCCCATTCTGTAAATCCAAACTTCATCAAATTTTTCACAGAAGAATGAATTACTATATATTAAAAAGGATGGGCATTTCATCGAGTACTAACTTAAGATACTTGGTATAACCAAGGAACACAAAAATCCCCAAATTCGAAAGTGGTTTTTACAATGTGAAATTGGATTAACATGCATCAGAAGACAAATCTCTCTTTGAAGACGAGATCAAAGGGAGCACTTAACACAAAGTCTTTAAGACCAAGAGAAACCACTGTAAAGGAAGTCAAGAAACCATAATTTTAACAAAAACAGAGGATTAGTGAACTCTTGGAAACAACAGGCGAGTTTAAGAACATGAACAAGCAGACAGAAGCAAAAAAAAAGAAAGAAAGAAAGATTAATGGTGAAAATCGAGAGCTTACAGAAGTAGATGAAGGGACTACCCGATTTCGCAGGGAAGACTTTTAGTTTAGAGCGTCGACCAACGGGACTAGTGTGCTCCACTGCTCTGTGTAGTGTGTAGGGAAGTGAAGAATCACTGTTTAATTCGTTGATCAATGAGGCTCTTTGGTTTACGTTAACAGTATCCACCTTTTTATCTTCCTTTTTCTTACAATTTTATTGGGCCTTTAATTTGTTTTCTGGGCCAAATCATTATCTTCACACAAGCCCAGTCATATCTTTGAGTTCCTTCTTTTTGCCCTAATAATCGCCGCCCCTGCTTATCTATTTAAAGCCATCATATTTCGTTGTAGACAAATTAGAGCCACTTCTCTTGAAACCCTAGTCTTTTATCTCTGTTTATTGCTTGTGTTGTTGTTTGTTTTGATGCCATGATTGATGCCTGTGATGGTGTTAAATATACTTTGAGAGCTAAGTCTCTAGGAAAACAAATCAACTCTGAGGCTATTTCAATCTTTTTTTTTTCTCTTTCTCTAGTCATGAATTGCTTTCTTTTCTGTTACTTTTATCTCTAGTTTATTTAGGTATTAATTGTATATGATGATTCTCCCCATAAACTATTGTGTTATTCTTGGTTTTACTAAGAGGTTTAAGTGTGAGTGCAAGTGATGATAAAAAGACAGGGACATCAGATTCTCCAGAATTTGGAGAAGTAGAATGATGAGTATGTCTAGATGGGAATCTCTCTGATGCACTTTCTTTACCTATCCTTTAGTTTTTCTTAGATGTTTTTGAATGTTTGGTAATGCCTGTGATGCATATTGATGTGTTTTCATCAGATTTTTCAAAGTGATGAATTAAATCACAATTGTCACTACCTCTGAGGCATACTTTTCAATGTTGTTTTGTTTTTGTTTGCTTGAGAGTAGCCTGGTGATTGTATCTAAGAACGGAGATATGAAGGGTTGTTTTGTTGTAGCCTAATATTAGTTTGGGCTCCAAAATCTTACCTAATGTAATCATCTTGCTTAACTGTATATGAAGGCCACCTAATCAGGATCCTGTTACACAGTTTGAAGCATTCTAATTGGTTTATATTTGTGCAGGAGGGTGAGGATCTATCCTGAATAGAGTTCAAGCTTCCCCATATGAAGATTTGTAAATTATGGTTCTATCTTGAATAAGTTAATAGAGTTCAATCTTCCCCATCCTATATGACATTTGTAAATTATAAGTGTAACCTTTTCAGAAATTAGAGATATATACAAATTGTTAATTTTCGTTAATTTCTCTGGACTCATTTTTTCTGATTTGAGTTTATATTTTCAATCAAAAGTAACAACAAATTAACCAAATTGTACCGAAAGCTTCCAAGTTTTAATTGGGATGTAATTTCTGTTCCTTACCAAAAAGAACCAAATACATATATATTAACAATCTTTTGTAAGAAAATTATACATAACAACAAAGATTGTAAAAATGAAGTTTCTCTTTCAGCATTGTGCTCTCCATGAATCATTCAGTTTCAGACAAGGCAAAGGCACAACTGATACGCACTTGAGCTTGTCCAGGTTATACTGCTTACAAAATACACAAATCCTGCTCCTTCCCTTTAAAATTTCACAAAACATCATTCAGAACCGTGATGCTTTCCGACAGAATCAAGACCTTCTGTTCTGCTCCGAACAATCCGATGGAACACTTCCCTCACTTTCTTCTCAAACGGATCCAAACCATTCTTCAAAGCTTCTTGAAGCTTCCCCAATTCCTCAACCCTCTCTCTCACTTCCACCTCTTTCTCATCCGACAAAGGAAACTGAACAGAATCAACCAAATCATTCATCAACCTTGAGCTCCTCTCAAACTGATGTATCTCTTTAAGCAACCCACAAGTGTTCTTCCTCTCCCTCTTCTTCGATTCCTCAATGATCCTATCGTGCAACGACATCAAAGAGCCTCCCCATGGGTAATTCCTAGGAACATTGAAATGCACTTGCAAGCCTCTGTCTTGACAAGGAATCGCTGCCACAAGCGCCCACATGACAAACAGCAATATCGAAGTCATTGTATAGACCGGAACAACGAGACCATTAGTTGCAGTAATGTCACTAGCTCGAGGAGTAGCTAGATTGTTCCCTATAGCTTGCAATTGCTTGGAAGCTGACCATGACCTTGAAACACTCCAGGAAAGCGATCTGAAATGCCCGATGGTTTTGTGATGGAGATGATCCTTGTTCCTCCCAAATGAACGGTTACGATGCTGAGACGAAACAGAGCTTGAAGATGAATCCTTTTCATCAAGCATACCAATAGCCAACTCAATCAAAGTCTTCCTCGCACGGCGGAACTGACCTTCCCCGAGAGGTCTCTGGCTGCTTCCGCCACCGCCGTTGTTGAAAGCGCAGATAACGATTTCGATTAGTTTCTGCCACTGACGGATCTGCTCAACACCATCACGGATGGCGTTACAGACATCGAGAGCCTTGACGCTTCTCTCGAAGTAATCGGCAACCAATCGATCCATGGGAGGTTTAGTGATCAAAGAGCGATGGTTGATCAGGATGGCACGAAACTCTTCTTGACAAGACAGAAACGAATCGAGAAGCTTCCCAACCCATTCGAGAGACAGCAGATCTTCACAACCAGAGGCATTGAGATCGATAAACCTCTCAGCGACTTTTCTCTGAAACGAATCCAACTCCGCCTCCATCGGACTCAACTCGTGTCCTCCGACGCCGCCGGTAACTGATGCCGAGTCAACAGAGTTCACAGCCGAGTCACGCCGTAAATTGAGTAAAGACCTCCCGAATGATCTTTGGTATTCCGTCGCTGGCATCCTCGAAACTTGAAACCCAGATGATGAAATGTGAGATCGATTAATCAAAAATCAGAGAGTAAAAAATCTCTCATTCCCCCAAAATATTAAAAATGGATCCTTTATTCTTGTGAATTCAGACCAGAGAGAGAGAGAGGGAGTGATGATAAAAATTAATAAACCCTAATGGGAAAAGATCTTTGGCTTTATATTGAGACCTGAGAGAGCATTTTGACCGCGTCTTTTTTCCCTTTTTTTAATAATATATAACAAAATAAATATGTAGGATTTTCTTCGATAAATTTGGGAAGAGGGATTTATTTAAAGAAAGTATTTAACATTCTCCAACGATAAAAATATATTTTTTTTCTCTATATTTTTTGTTTATTAAAATTAAAGTTATAATTGTATATCCCGTTGTTGTTGTTGTTACTTGTCCGAAACACGCAGCTAACACGTCAAAATATAAAACCAAGTAGGGAAACTATAAGGGAATCGACATGGTGAAATATGATCCGTTGGATTAAGAAGAAGAAGTGATCGGGGTTGCAGAAGATAAAAACATATGGCTGCTGCGACGCGAGAGAGAGAGAGAGAGAGAGATGACAGAGCACGTGAAGGATGTAAGAAACGGAGGACACGTGGCGAAAGGTGAGTTGGGGAAGTGTGACGGAGAAGGCGTCAACAAAACAGCTCAATCTTAGTTGGCGCGTCATTGAGACTTGGTCCCTTTTTATTCGTTCGTTCCTTTCTTTTTTTTTTTTTTTTTTTTGTCGGCTCGTTCGTTCCTTTCTTTTGCATTCTTTTTTTCTAGAAACCTCAAGGGGACAATTTGCTTACGTGTTTTGTTTTTTTAATTTTGTAGTAAGCTTTATATGGTTAACGACGAACCACACAATAACCAAGGAGCAAGTCAACTTTAATTTTAGGCACTATTTCTTCTTGGTTGATGATTTTTAAATATATACACATATAATAATAACTTGTTTGCTAGTAGACTATAGTACTAAATTACAAATGAATACATTAATAATTGATTATGATGCTCACGAAGAAATAATAATAATGAAGATATATTGTGTTTCAAAGTTGAGAATCATGTTTGAACCGATCTTTTATAAAGTTTTGAACGATTTGTAGTATATCCTTTAATTAATTAATACAAGACGTAGCATGCACACCACACTAGTTATATGTTTAAAATACACTAGTACTCTCTTCTCCTTTTTTTTATAAGCAAATTATGCGATTTATACTATATCCTTCTGTCTGTTCTGTAGAAAATCCCCAATTATCTGGAAATCGTACCTAATGTTGTATATATTTATATAGTACTTAATTATAACAAAAGAGTGATTTAAGTAGTAGTAGTATATATAGCACGTGTGAATCACAAGTTTCAAGAGACATAAAACAATGGAAGTCATTAAGGAAATATATAAACAAAGATTATGACAGACAAACTCTTCTTTGAGTTTTGACTATTTCTTGATTTTTGCAAGTTGTTAAAATATGGCTTAATCGTTTTTCTTTTTTTGCTTCTCGACAAAATAAGTTGCATCATTTTAAAAATAACTTGTAAAGAATATTTCTACAATCAGTTTATTACTATAGAATTTTCCAAACTGACATGGTCCGAATCAAATTATATATAGCTTGAAATAAAAATATTTATAATACAGAATAACAAAATGGTTTAGTTTCATTATTTTGTGTCCATTAAGAAAGCCTACATATATACATGTATCAATGTGTATATACCACGTTGTTTAAAAGGTAATAATACGTAACCCAGACGTTCAAATTATCAAACTCCAACCTCATACGAATATAATTAAGAAAATCATTCGTTTATTTGGCCACAGAAAGATTTGTTTTTTTAGATGAGATGTTAAAATATTAATATTAAACCGAGATTACAGGACGTGGCCCAGGGTTTAGAAGGTAACAACAGTCACAAACAATATCTGAAGTAGATATTATTGCAGCCATCACTAGCTCGTATAAGTTTAACCCATTAAATTCCATATTATTTGACTCTTTCATTGTTTATAAGATATCTTAATGGCCTTGTGGGTTACGTAATGAATATATCGGTTGGATGGGATCTGGATATGACGGCACTCATACCCACCACCATCGCCATTTATTTTGGTTTTAGTTGTGACTTTGTGTGCTTCCGATTACTAATCAATAAGTTAGCATTGTAAAACAACATGCATGATATTTCATGTTTTTAACGAGTTTTATTTACCACGTGAAAAATAATCATTATCTAATTCGTTTTATTATTTACCACGTGAAAGTTATCAACCGCAGAGCTCAATTATTTACTTGGTCAACAATCATGTCATTAAAGCGTAGGTTAGGGCAACATTATTGGTGGGATTTTAGAGGCTAAGATCCCCCGGTTTTTACAAAGAAAAAATCTTATATAAGATCTTTCCTTTGCAAAAACCGAGGGATCTTAGCCTCTAAGATCCCATTGATAATGTTGGTCTTAGATAGTAAAAGTAGAGGCGCATGTTAACATACTTTGTTGTGAAGTAAACGCCAATAATCGGAAAAGTCTTCTCTTTTCGTCTTTTCCCATCCTCTAAGAAAGTCTCATACTCGAGTGTTAGGAGAAAATATAATCAAAGGATCAAAGAACAGTAAAATCATGAGCAATCGTATCGGATTACTTGATCTGGAGAAGCATTTCGCCTTCTACGGAGCTTATCACAGCAATCCAATAAACATTATAATCCACACTCTGCTCGTATGGCCAAACGTCTTCGCCACTCTCCTTTTCCTCTACTCCACGCCACCGGTTCTACATCACTACCCTCAATTAGGAGGATTCTTCAAATCCCTGACCTTTGACGGTGTCTTGCGCTTGGACATTGGGTTTACTCTCACCGTCATTTATGCTGTTTTTTACATCTGTTTGGACAAGAAATCTGGTGTTTTAGCTGCTCTGTTATGTTTCTCTTGTTGGGTTGGCTCTAGCTTCCTCGCAGCTAGGCTTGGACATTCCTTAACCTTAAAGGTGAGCTCTTTTATTCGCAATAGGTTTCTTTTGACTCTGTCAGCACTATCTTGGTGTTCTTTCCCTCATATTGATTTTGATTGTGATGTTTCTGTCGAGTTCTGTTTGGTGTTCTTTCATGTATATGTGATGATGATCAAGGAACGTCATTGTCTTGCTTTCAAACATTAATTGATCATTTGGCCGGATATAATGTGGTCCTTTCAAGATTCTCTTTATTAGGAAACCTCCAAATTTAACATGTCTGCATCACTTTGTGTTCAAAACAAAGTTGTGTGTTTTCTTCTTCTTATGCATCACAAAAAGTTATACGTATCTTTCGTAATCTTCTAACTCGCTTTCTCAGGTTGGAATAGCTTCTCAGTTCTTATGTTGGACTGGTCAGTTCCTCGGTCACGGCTTGTTTGAGGTTATAAACTCTACTTTTTTGTTTAGAAATGATTTCTTATGATTCTCCGAAAACTTTTTAAAACTAACAGATCCTTAATCCTACTCCCAAGAAACGAGCTCCTGCACTTTTAGACAACCTAGTACAAGCTTTTCTAATGGGTCCTTTCTTCGTGTTGCTCGAGGTTTGATGTCTTTATTATTGTTCAGCTTACTTCGTTTTATGTTCTTCCCTTCCGCCGAAGTGAGTAACCACGAATGGATTTGAATGCAAGCAGGTGTTGCAATCTGTTTTTGGGTACGAGCCATACTATGGATTTAAAGAACGCGTCGAGTCCAAGATCAAGAGTGAAATAAAAGAATGGAGAGAAAAGAAGCTGCAGCTAAAGGAGAAAAAGATCACTTAAAAAGCTCCGTTCGTTATGGTCAATGACATTGTGTGATTCGAAAATTGTTCCCCTCCTCTGTTCGTAATGAATCAAAGCACACAAACATAAGTTACATGTACGAGTTACTTTTGTTATTTTAGCCTCAGGCCCATACCCAGGCCCATTAACTAATGCAAAGTCATTGTATAATAGATAAGGAATCTTCCCAAGTTCCATGTCGATGATATAGTTAGTGTTGTTGGCACGAGAGTTGTTTTTAAGACACACAAGTTTGAAAGGGATAACATAGATAGATAGATAAAGAAGAGTTCGACACTGTCTCACTGTCAGAATTGTACGAATTAAAAAAAAAAAATCAATTTTTGTATTACTTTTATTCAACTCTTTTGAACTGAAAATAAAAAAGTTAACACAAAAAGGTCTGTTTTTGAATTTAATAAAATAAAAACCGAAAAAAGTTTTTACAATATTTTGATGTGTGATGGGTCTGAAATGAATCAAGAGAATAAAAATTATAATTATTGCAAGGATGGATGAGAATCAATTATTACAGTGTAATCCATTTTGACCCCACGGATGCAAAGAATCTCTTGTTAGGGCAAAAAAACAAAATGATTTAAAACCAGAAAGACAATAGTATGTATTATCTGCAATGATCAAAATCTTTGAACTGTAGGTGCTTTCTTCTTTTTACATTACAACATATATTGTCACATCCACATGCGTTATTTTTTTCTTCTATACTTTTAATTTTCACATTTATGGCTACACATCGAATTTTTACATGATTCTATTGTTTTTCCAGGATTTTTCGAAGTTTTGTTATCTTCATACAACTGTGTTTTACCATTTTAAATAAAATAATATAGTCTAACAAATTTGATTAAAAAAATATATAGTACTCTAACAAATAATTATACCACTGATCTGATTACAAGAAAATTTTGTAAAACCTTAATAATAATGAAAAGAGTCCATAACAAAGTACATGTATGGAGTATGGACCAGCGACGTCGCGCAAGGCAGAATAATTTCCTTATAATTTTTTTTTGCACATGCTTTAGAAAAAAAAACTCCTTAAAGTGGCATGACAAAAACTGTAAGTATATGAAATTATTGTTACTAATTGGCACAAACCGTGCAAAAACAAATTGCCACAAATAGAATTTACGATCGATAATTGAAAACAGCACGTGTCCTCTGTTGCAACCACATTTAATTTCAGTTTCATGCCAAGATAGCTGTCAATGGACTATGGAGTAACAAGCTTTTTGTAGTTTTGACAACAACCAACAAAAAAAAAAAAAAGGAGTAACACCTTTGTTATATGATTGCGCTCATGTGACGAACAAATCTTGCATTTGGATTATTAGTTTAGTACTTATTAGTAGGAATTTAGATTCCGTTTAATACATATTTTGGTTCTTGTTTTCCCAAAATGATTTTTTACTCCATCATCTCCTTTTTATAGTTTGTGGTGCTCATCTTAATTTATTACTGTAGTATAATCTACGAAACGAAAACGAAAGCAAAATGTGTGAATGGCTGAAGACAACGTTGTCTTCAACGTATCCTCCCAAGTCCCATCCCATCGACCCGGTGATCGGTATCTCGGCCTCTTCCATACTTAGTTAATTATTTCAAAGGTTTCTATAGATGTCTACCTTTTGATTTTATATGTTCCACTAGTTAGATTTGTTTGATATTTGAAATTTTTTAAAAACACAAATGGTTTTAATAAAACTAAAGGAAACATGCCATGCCAGAATCCTTATACGCATATGATAAAGGCTTTTCAACCACACCATTATGACAAAACCTATAGGAACATAGTATTCGATAGCCTTGTTTCACTAAAATGGTATGCAACCCTCACATTTATATTTTATATATGTATATATATATATATATATTTTTGGCTCATATTTATATATATAGGTGAACAAAAATTATAAATTAAAATAAAATGTAGGCTTATATATAGGCATGTGCGAGAGAGAAGAGGAATCTCAGATAAAACTGTAACAACAGTCAGAGCTAAAAAAAACATTGACCATGCATGACATTTAAAGTACTAAAGCACTTGCTTTTTTTATTTTTTTCAGACATCTCACATCTCTGATCTCTCTCTATCTCTCTCTCTTATTCACACCGAAGAAACGGATGTATCAGACCAAAGATGTGATTCAATTAAAGTAGGAACAAGCCAAGCTGTTCAGTCTCATCATAGAAATCAGATTCGTACAGAGTAGTGTCTGGATTAACTGGTGAGTAGAAGTCATCAAAAGCCATGAAGCCAGACGTCGTAGTTGCTGTAGCAGTAGAGTAACCATCAAAAGGCACTTCATCAAACGACGCAATATTCATCTTTTCATCAATATCCATTAGACAAGCAATCATTTCATCATGTTCCATGCTTATCAACATTTTCTTCTCTTCTTCAGCCTCGGCTTGATCTCTCGGTTGTTCAGACAATATCACAGTCTTGATCCTCTCGAGTCCGTGTTTCCTCGAGGAGATTCCAGCAGCGAGCTTGTTAAGAAGACGTGCTGAGCCAGCAGAGGAAGAAGAGGAGGAGAAGGACGAAGAACAAGGGCTCGGTATAGGAGACGACGTCGTTGAGGAGGAGGAAGATACGACATCGATGGTGAGGCTTTTTGGCTCATGGGTCATTGGATCGATACCACTTTTAGCGAGTCTTTTCTTAAGACATGAGTTCCAATGGTTCTTTATGTCATTGTCTGTTCTGTTCGGCAGTTGCTTAGCTATCGCTGCCCACCTTGTAATACAAAAAAAAAAAAAACCCGACCATATCACAAAAAATAGTATTAACAGTACTAATACTAATAACACGACATTAATATTGATTGAAATTTACTACTAGTCAACAATAACAATTCTAATAATTACCTGTTACCAAGAAGAGCATGGTGTTTAATGATTTCATCTTCCTCCTCAGGAGTAAACTTGCCTCTTTTAATCCCAGGCCTCAAATAATTCAGCCATCTTAATCTACAACTCTTTCCACATCTTTGCAGACCTTATTACATGGAAAGTTGCATCAGAAATTATTAACTTTTAACATTGAACCTTCTTTTCCATCAAAAAAACAAACAAAATAAGAAAAAGGAGAAAACAGACTTTCTGATATTGGCTCAAAAAGGATCTATGATTTGATTTCTAGAGTTCTTTTATAGTTGGAAAAAAATAATATATAAATAATAAGAAGAAACAGGAACAGAGAAGAAAGACTTGGCTTTCATGGGTTTCACAGATTGCATTTGGATATATAATATTATCATCTTGACAAAATTTGATGGAAGGTTCTAAAAATTTATTAATTATATTATAAAAAATCGGATAAATATCATCTAGGACATGCTATTATATAACGCATACACAAAAATTAACAACAGAAGGCTCGTAAGAATAATAATCTTTTACTGCTCATAGATTCCTTAATTATTTCGTATAGAAAACTGTTTTCTGTAAATGTCATGTACTCCTTAATTTACTTCACCCCCCAAAGAATAAAAAATAAATAAAAAATAAACATAATGCTCCTAAACGTATATGGATTTCTGCAAATAAATCTTATTATTGTGCATAATTAAGAAAACAAAGTTGACAAAAAAGAAAAAAAAAATTTAAGAAAAACAAAAACAACAAGAAGATCCGACAGCCAAAATAAATAAAACATACTGAAAACAAAATCTATGGCGCTCCGACAAAAACAGGAATCTAAAGATCCTCAAAGCCCTCCCTAACTTCCAAAGAGAAGAAAAACATAGTTATACATATCATAATCATATAGACCGTACAGAATGTAAATAATGGCATAAACTGTAAAGGTTAATGTTGTTCATACCGGCTCTCTTAGGCATTGAACCCCACTCGCCGAGACCATGTTCGTTGATGTAAGCCACGAGCTTCCTGTCTTCCTCCCCGGTCCACTCTCCTTTCCTCATCCCGTCAACGTCGAACCACGTCGTCCTCCCCATTTCTTTTTTTCTCTCTGGTGAACCAAAATTAATTATGGTTCAGATCTCGGTACACGTATCACTTCTCCGGTCCGATTTTGAGCGACTTCTTCTTCTTTCTCTTACTCAATATATCAGAGATGAGTGATGAAAGGTCTTCAGATACGTGTTGAATTATTGTTAGTAATTCAGATTAGGAGAATATATTATTTATGTGAGACTCTCTCTCTCTCTCTCACTCTCACTTGTTTAGCAGTAGAATGGTCTTTGAAGAGTGTGGAATGTGTTATGTGTATATATATATAGTCCCTTTCCCATTATTTCTGTTTTTTTTTTTTTTGGGATAAATTATTTCAACCGTTGGATTCTTGTATGTACATCTTGATGGTGATATATATTTCTTTTTATTTCTTGATTCCTCTTTTGTACGTTATTTTTTCATTATGACAAAAAATATCATTCCGGCCGGATATGTAACATCCTTGTTCCAAGAGGTTAAGTCACGCATATAGCGTAATTCACATCACATGATACTAATGATCATTATTTGAACAAGAATTAAACATAATAATAGATTTTCTTGTTATGAGAACTTCAGAGCATTAATATAGTTTATATAGTATTATTTTGATTATTATAGACTCCAGGTATCTATTGAATACACAGTAGTTTTATTTATTTGAGTAAAGCTGTGATTGTGTCCTTCTCATCCCACAACTTTTTCACTGTTTTAGGAATGAGCTAATATTATTATATAAATATATATATGTATATTTATATTTATGAAGCTTTTGATTGACCACAAAGACTACTAAAGGTTTGTAAATACACAGTAAGTAGTATATCGTTTACATGAATTGTTTGTGATCTTACAAACCGACTTCTAAGATTTGCGAGTGAGAGGAAGGTGGGAGCTAGGGCCGGACTCCAAATAAAGTTATGAGCCAGAGCTATATGATGGCTATACTAACATTCTTGCACATATTCCGTATACACCTGCAGGGGCGGATCTAGAAAATTTGTTCAATGGGGGCAAAAATATAGTAAAAAAACTATCAAATACTAAATTATAAAAGACATAAAATTGTCATGTAAAAACTTTAAAATATCTTAGAAAACCACTCAGACGCTCATTTAACAATTGAAACCTTTTTACCACATTTTCATTTGTGACAGATTCAAATAATTAAAAACAAAAAAACATGTTATTAATTAAAAATTTAGAAAATTTTGAATTTATAGACTTATATTTTAAAATTTATTAATTTTAAAATTTTGAATTATGTAACAAACTTCCATAAAAGCTTAACCATAGAATAAACATATAAACAATTATCACTCCAAAAACTAATATAGTCATGTATAACATAAAAACCTATATAATGTTTTCCAAGAAACATAGTTATAAGCTTGAACTGATTAAATAAAGAGAATTTTTGAGAAATACCCCTTTTGGTGTACCCCTTTTTAAAAATACCCCCTTTATGTATCTATTTTCAAAAATGCCCCTTTTTAAATATAAAAAATTATAAAGTTTTATATAGTTTATAAGGTACTTCTATATAATAACTACTACTGGGAGATTCGATACAAATATTTTAAAATGTTTTAAATAGTTTTAAATCATTTTTATAAGTTTTATAAGGTTTTTAAAAGGTTTTTAAAAGGGTTTATACGGTT